GCGTAAGAACTGAGGGATGACTGTGATGACAGCGGCTATATGTGCGGGCGGGGCCGTGCGCGTGTCATCACACGTCATCTGCCGTAAAGGCGTGAATAAAGGTTTCTTCAGCCAGGACACGCGAGGGCGTGATATCCCATACTTATGTGTTGTACCGAGTGAATCGACTGAAAGGGAACCTTATAACGCAAGTGCTCTGTGTCTTTTTCCTCTCTTCAAACCTCATTGTGGGACTTCTTTGTGATTATTCAGTTGAACTTGACACCCACAGGGTGTTTCTACAGGCTGTTGGGAGCTATAGTTACATTTCCTACAATTTGTGAAGTCCACCAAAACAGTGTTCCATATTTTAAGATAACCCTATTTTATCCTATAATGGATCTTGGAACAGCCGTTTGTTCATTCACTGTTTGAAACACACTGTTTAAGGCCCCAGTCAGACAGGCCTAGACCAATAGAAAAGGTAATGAAGTACCTGTTTGTGAGTATTACCCAACCGGTTTACTGGAGGCTGCTGCCAGCTGCTGGGAAGTTGGTGTGAAGGTGAAGTTTCCCAATTCGCATAGGCCAAGACACTGGTCAGTGACCCCTGGCAACTACCGGTCACAAGGAAAATGTGTGTAATCTGTGGGCGGTTGCTGGAGTTTGCTTGAAGTCACTTTGGTTGCAAAAATGTATGCAGGGCTGCAATACAAGCATCTTTCCGATTGTTTTGGTCATTTTTGCATGGACGGCACCATCTTGTGCGCAAACCCTTACAAACTGCTCGCTAATTGGGAGTGAAACTGCGAAAAGTGCAAAATGGAAACGGAGACCATTCGTGACTTGCTTTGTTTGGACGACTTTTACTTTTAAGACAAATGGTCTCCGTTTCCAGCTTGTGTTGCACTTCTTTCAACTAAATAGCGAGTATTTGCAGACAAGCTGGTTTCCTCTGTGCCAACTCCAGGTGAGCAAAGCAGTCACAAAGAGGTTTTTGGTGCAGCATCTTCTTTGCAAGTGAGTTCACCATGCGACATTCAGCAACCGCTCTTCAACCTGTCGGGGTATACACATTTTTCCAAGTGACTAGAGGTTTCCAGATGGGTCATTAACCAGTCAAGGCCTGTGTGACTAATGCCTAAACTTCCTTCTTTCTTCCTTTAGCCGACTCCCTTCTTATTGGCCTCCTCTCCTAAACAGCATGCTTGAACGGCAGGTGGGTGGGCTACTGTGCTCGCAGACAAGCTTGATATGAACATATTAGGGATGTCAGGTTAAAGGAAGCTGAAGCTTTGTACATGTTTAATAGAAGCAACAACCACTGTAACCATGCATATGAAAAAGCATAAATGGTGGACTTGAAAATGCAGCCACTAATGGCCATGCGAACAAGCACTTGTAAAATGTGCACTTGTGCTGGCACTTTTTGCTGTGGTGGTACTTCACACTGTTTAGAGTACATTTGAACCAAACCGGAATATTTTCCTCCTTTTTAAACCATTGTAGGCTTTACATTTATACCTGACCACATAGCAAGTGAAAATGAAAGCAAACTGAACATTGGTCCCAGTAGAGATTTGCCTCTCAGCTGAATGTTGAATGTTGAGTGTGTTTGTACCATCACCACCACCCCACCTAACAGTAAACATGGGCTCTGTTTGGTGAACCTTTTGAGTTAACCTATCTATTAATCTTTAGTGAAATGTCTGAAAAAAAGTGTCTCCCACCTGCCAAAGCTTGCAAGTCCCTATGCCACTTAATTTCTTGAAGTATTCACTTTGAAATGCATTTGTTGCATTTGATACATGTAAGTTTCCTTTCTTCCAGACAACATCATCAGCTCTGAAAGGTGCTATCCAGTTAGGCATCACGCACACGATAGGCAGCTTAAGTCAAAAACCTGAAAGAGATGTGCTGCTGCAGGACTTTGAGGTGGTGGAGAGCATCTTCTTCCCCTGGTCAGTTTGTAACGATGAATTAGTTTGTAAAGGAAATGAAATGTGTGTCTGCCCTGTGTGCAGACAGGATCGGGATATTTTACTTCTGCAAGCCTACTTTGAAGCTGTGTGGAAAATAATCTTGTGCTCCTCTGTTTGTGACCTGCAGTGAGGGTAGTAACCTGACACCGGCACACCACTATGGAGACTTCAGGTTCAAAACATACGCCCCAATGGCCTTCCGCTACTTCAGAGAGATGTTTGGCATCCGGCCCGATGACTACATGGTATTCTTGTATAATCAGCAATTGTTGTCCAAAATATTTCTGAGGAAAGAGAGCAGTTCACTTTTGGGGAAAAAGGAGTGTTTGAGTAACTGTGACTAGGGAAGTGTGAATAATGGAGTATTGACACAGGAGAGGAGTGGAGATGCTGTTCTTACGGTTTTAAAGTAGGGGTGTCAAATGTAAGGCTGGGGGCCAGAATTGGACTGGTGACAATTCCAATTTGGACCGCCGATTTTGAAAAAATGTGAAAGAGGGCATAATTTTCAACTGTATATTTAGAAGTTTTACAGCTTTTCCTACTGATCAAGACCTCTCCCATCATCATTCATACTACACCAAAGAAAATTCAATTATAGATATCTGTAATTTTACACGTTTACTTCTTACAGTTTAAGCCTAAAGAAGCATGCTGACAGATTTCTTTAATTTACTACAGCAGTATTTCATTATCATGTAGAAAAACGGAGACCTGCTATTGAAATTGCACTTCTTTGGCCTCTATTAAGATATCACATTGATTAAATGTATATTTAAACTTTTTTAGACTGACAGATATTGGAGATATTTGGATATTTCATGTTTTCTGCCTCCTGCATGCTCCCTCCAGGTCCTGCCTCTCGCCCAAACCAAACTCTGTATGCTTTGTAGTGAGAACATGGCTTCATTTTACATGTGTAAAATGTAGCAATAAGACTGTGTTTTTTTGCTTTTAATCACATGTGTAAAGACCGTTTTTTATGTTGTGTTTATAGTATTCTCTGTGTAACGAGTCGCTGATCGAGCTGTCCAACTCCGGGGCGAGTGGATCCTTGTTCTACGTCTCTAGAGATGATGAGTATATCATCAAGACGGTGCAGCACAAAGAGGCAGAATTTCTGCAGAAACTGCTGCCTGGATACTTCATGGTATGATTTGATGGTCACAAAATGTCCTAATCATCATCCTGTTATCACTATCAAATGCAAGGTCTTGGATATCAGTGGCGCTTTTACAGCGACGCTTTGCTACCCTTAAAACTAATTTGCAGTTGTTTTGTTAGTCTGCAACTGCCATAGCTGTGGGCATTATGTTTTTATGTTGTCCTCATGTACTCCACCTACGATTATTATCATGATATCCCTTGGTACTCCTTCTGGGAATTTTATTCATTATCAACTTTAACTCAAGGAACTGATTAGAATTTAACGGCCAAAGATCAGCTTTCACCTCACGTGTGTTAATTGTTGCATTCTAGTAAAATTTCACAATAGGAGTGTCCTGAGAAATTTTGCAGATATGTTTCTTTGGATTGAAGGACGACATGATTAGATTTGGTACTGTGACTTTACAAAACATGTCAACTAACACAATAAAATCAGAAGCTGTCATTTTGTCTTGAGGCAAAATATCAAAGGTCACATCTGGATAGCCATGGATGTAAAATGCAGCCAAACGGGTTGGTGCAAGACGAGAACTATGAGGCCGTATTTACTGTTACTGAAGTAACACTCTGCAGTCAAATATTGTTCCTACTTTGTTTTCTTGAGCTGCTAAAATGCTTTGTTTGTCTTTAAAGTCTCTCTCAACTAGTTAGCCTGGTTTTCATTTAAAGAACTCGACATGCTTGTTACTGACTGAGTTTACTTTTGCTCTGGCACATCTGCCTTCTTTTTTTATCAGTTTACTTAAGTCAACCATTCATTTAACTTTTGGTGACGCTGATACTGATGTTTCTTTTCATTTTGTCTATATTTCTTCCTCCTACTCTTTTTCTTTCTGCCTTAGAACCTGAACCAGAACAAGCGGACCTTATTACCAAAGTTTTATGGGCTGTATTGCGTCCAGTCAGCTGGTAAAAACATCCGCATTGCAGTCATGAATAATCTGCTTCCTTGTGCAGTACGAATGCACCTCAAGTATGATCTAAAGGGCTCTACCTACAAGCGACGAGCCTCGGCTAAAGAAAGAGAAAAGGCTGTACCCACATATAAGGACCTGGATTTCATCCAGGACATGCCTGAAGGGCTCTCGTTGGACGCTGATAAGTACAATGCTCTTTGCAAGACCCTCCAGAGAGACTGCTTGGTGAGAACTGTGAAAACATGAGGCTACCAGAATAATAAGTGTTGGTTTAGATAGAATCAGTAAAATGTCTTCCCTCTAAATGTCCTGATCTTATAGTACTCATGTTCCTTAATTTCCATCCAGCTCCTGCAGAGTTTCAAGATTATGGATTACAGCCTTCTGGTGGGAATTCATAACGTAGATCAGGCCTGTCAGGAGCAGGCCAACGAGGAGGCGGGGGCTGGGGAAAAGGGTCAAGTTCAAAAGGCTCTGTACAGCACGGCTATAGAGGCCATTCAAGCAGAGGTGGGACGCATGGGATCCATGGAAACCGAGGACAGGTGAGTGACGGAGTGTCTGTGATCATATCGAGCAGGCTTGTCCCACCAGTTTCTGTCTGAGAAGAATTACAGAAGACTAAAGGTGTTTTTGTTTGCAGAACGGGAGGAATCCCTGCACGAAACTCGAAAGGCGAGAGGCTGCTGGTGTACATCGGTATTATTGACATTCTTCAGTCTTATAGGTAATAATTCACTTTATTGTCCTCATTGAGCTCACATAACAAAAGAAGCACATGAACAGGAAAGCAGCAGCTTCCGTCTTTGTCTGTTCAGAATGCGTTCAGGGACCGTATCAAGTGTTAAACCCCTGTACACTGTCTCGTTAGCTAACCTGACGTTTTACACTAAAGGTCAGAGCGGACAGTAGAGAATGACTACGGTCGGTCAGTGAGGCAATGAATCTTTGTTACTTTATTTAGAAACTGTGCAAATAAACGTTATCTATACCGGAAAATCTCTGCCAACATGTAACCATGACGCCACCTGTGGTGACTAAAATATGATCTTCTTGTTCCACTGTGTACGCGTGTGGCCAACATCCAAAATAGAGTTCACATGACATGAGTAAACAGGATTTCAGCATTCAGATAAAACTACAAGGGCACTTTCAAATGTTTCTACAGTGAGCGTGTGATAAGAAAATACTTCTGTTTGAGGATCTAAATTTTATGAAAAACATAGAGGGGGGGAAAAAAGTAGTGCTTGGACGAATGGGTAAATGAGGCAAGCTGCATTGAGCAGTTAGAGTAGAAAAAGTTCTATATAAGAACCAGTCTAGTTACCATTTACCATCAAGTCAGAGTGTGTGTGTGTTTTTTCAGATTGGCAAAGAAGCTTGAACACTCCTGGAAGGCTCTGGTTCATGATGGGGTAAGGACCCTTACTAGTACTAGCTAGTTTGATTGCAATGATTTAACAATACAGATTTTAACTTGTTTTATTTCTTTTTTTCAGGACACTGTATCAGTGCACAGACCGGGTTTCTATGCCGAGCGATTTCAGAAGTTTATGTGCAACACAGTGTTTAGAAAGAATGCATGTAAGTTTATGTTGTCTCCGTCTGAACATGACTCTGTCACACCAGTGTTACTGCACAGACTCAAAGTTTCTCTGTCTCGTATCTAGTGAAGACCTCCCCTTCTAAGAAGCGCCGTGCAGGAGCCGGTCCTGTGAAAAGAGCGGCTGGCTCTGGACCTTCTCTGATGACCCAAGCTAGCAGCAGCAGCACCGCCCAGAGTCCTTTGCTCCAACATCAAGCCAGTTCAGACACCAGAGAGGACAGCGAAGCAGACAAAAGTGAGGATGAAAGAGCACAGAAGCTTTAACTTCTCTATGGGGAACTATTTATGTTTCATATTTTTCATGACAGCTGCAAACATTTAGTCTTCTTACATGTACCACTATGGGAGATGCTTCTTTTTCAACACAGCGATAAACCGTTTTTGTCCCCTCTCGCCAGTTATGCTCGCAGGTCGTCCTGACCTCCTCCCAGATACCATTCCTCCACGCAACCCTGTTGCTAGCGCTGTTGAAACTGCCATCTCCTCCTTGGGAAGCCCCAGATTTTTACCAGCAAGTCGTCTTCAGTCTAACACTCGGGGAGAATCTTCGAACAAGCAAAACGAGGAAGACAGTACCCCCAAGGGGTAAGAGGGGACATATAGTGTAATAGTTTGTGTATTAACGATCCACCTGTCACTTTTATGACAGTACACACAGACACACACATTTTCCTACAACACACCAGTGTTATCTGAATGCATTGATTAATGTCTAATTACACTAACTGAATATGGTAGTACCAGAAGTAACTTGTAATCATCTACTAAATGTTCTGCTTTGGATATAAAGTTCACACACCTGCTGGTGTATTTGAATCACCACAAGAGCTGGACAAAATACCAGAAACAAAACAAAGTTCAACAACAACACAGTAATAACATATTCAAACAAAAATGTCTTTAAAGATGAAACACTTAGTTTCACCTAAAACAGAACTTTATATATCCTTCTCTGAAGTAAGAAATCTTCTACTTCTCCCATTTAAAGTGATCCGAAATGCAGTGCTTCTTTCAGGCTGTATTAGAGGCCTACATTTTTAAACTCCTTTTTAGATAGGTCAGCTTTCACATGATGTGTTCTTCAGTATTTTGTTTTTGCGTGTATGGAAGTGTGTATGTTGGAATGAACGTGTGATCCTTTGGTTAATGTGTGGCTTTTGTTCAAGTTGTGAAACACTTTGAAAAGTGGAATGCAAATCAACTTAGGAATAAATGAATGACCCATTGATGCACAGATTGGAAGTGAGGCCTTCTCAGAAGACAAAAATGTGCCTTAACCAGAACTTCAGGAAAGTCAACATTTTCCCAAAGCAGCACAGGATTCTAGGCATGGAAACAAGCGTCGAATTAGCTCATAAAGCTTTCTGTAAAAAAATGCAGTGTATATTCTGTTAATATTTTCACCTCCACAACCAGTGCCTCGTACTGTGTTAAGGTTCAAATGCATCTCATGACTCTCCTGTTGTTTTCAGGGCTCAGTCTAGGACTCTTGAAGAAAGTGGTGCTGAGGAAGCAATCTCACTCAGCGACGTAGTCCCGTGTGTAAGCAGCTGCTCAGTAAGTTGATTTCAAACCTCAGGTTCTGCTATCAAAATATTTACTCGTATTTGAACTTTTTTAAAAACTAATACTCTTTCACTTGGTTTGCAGGTGTAGATGTGAGGAAAAAGAATGACTTGAAGGATGTTCTGAGCCTTCCTGAAATCTTATAACTCCCTTGGTATGATTTGAGGTACCAGAACTTACAAAAAAAAATTACGCAGTGCATCTCCTGGACCAAGAGGGATATGAAATGTTTGCTTGTTGTCTTTGTTTTTTTTGCACAATATGATAATGTAACTGGGCGGTTGTGTCGCAACACTAGTAACTGCAGACACGGTAATGCTGTAGTTATTGAACACTATTATTAAACCCATAGGAGAAGTGCCTGTAGTCACAACCAATGATCATTTTTGGCTCAGTTAAGCATTTAGTGTGGAAATGTTGCCTTATTGAAGAACTGAGATTCTTCATTCAGGCCTGGCTATATACGTCATTGTCCTTTTTGGGATTATTATTATTTTATTTTATTTTTATTGCTTCTCTCTTCTTCTTCTTTTTTTTTTTTTGACCAAATGGCTGTAGCACGTCTTCATGCAGATTTTTCTGTGTGCCTGCCGCCCACCCAAAGGTCCAAGTCTAGAGTAGTGTTTGTGCTACCTGCTTTGACGGAAAGCCTTATGATGAGGATTGAGAACACAGTTTTAAATAAAGTCTTAGTTTTTAAAGAAATTACTGTATTCATGCATTGTAAGCTTCTGATTTTTAAAAGCTTACTCTGAATGCAAATCATGCTGGACGAAAGACCTTCAGCTTGTGCTTTTTATTTACCCAAGTATTCCCGTGGACCTGGAGTGCTTTTACAGACTGTGAATCTTAAATATCACCTGTGATATTCAGGCCAGAAGGTTATTTTAAATGTTTTCTTTTTATACTTGTATTTGCTCGTGGACTATAGACTGGCTTGTATTCAAATGAGACCGATACTGGTACTCGGTAGCAAAACTAATGAGTTAGTCAGCTTCGGTGTCACGGACCAAACCTGCAAAGAGAAGCTTGTGTTATATATGCAAGAAAAACAGAAATAGGAGAATCACACTAAACCTAACCACTTTAGGTAACCAAAGAGCATGTTGTGGCATTAGTACAAACTGGTACAATCACTATGTTTTTGTAATAAGTTGGGACATTGAAATTAATATTGTACTAGTAAAGTTGCAGTAAGTTTTTTTTTTTTTAATATATATACATATATACTGCCAGCACAAATGAAAAATTACTGTTGCATGTAATTTGCCTTGTTTTGTTTTTCTCCAGAATAATAGACTCCTATTTTTCTTTTCTTTTTTTTTCTCAACACTGTGGTTTACGCCTAGCTGAAGCTAATGTGGCCTTTAGCTGTCCTGCAGTAAGTCTGACCTTTCCAATTTAGATTATAATAGTAGCTCTCAATATAGTTCAACTTTTGTGAAAATCCTGTGTTAAGAGAGGTGTGTGTTTAACTTTGTGATATGTTTGGAGGGTGTTTGTGCTGCTTCACAGGACACAGTGCACACCAGCACAGTGTGCACTGTTGGTATAATGCTGTTGCGCTTTTGTGACAAGAACAGCATCGCTGACCAGCGTAACACCTGAAACAAACCCTCGCTGTCAAGGAGTTGCGGAGCTGCAGCAGTTTACGAGTTGCTGATGAGCATCGTGCGCAAAGAAAGCATCTACTTCTAAATTCAGACATGACTGTCACCTGTACTTTGTGTGGGATTTTTGTGTTTGTTTTTAATTGATTGTGTTAGTTTTTAAGTGATTTTATTTTTCAAATCTAACAGCACAGGAAACTTTTCTAAATGAACGTTTCAAAATGTGTGGTGGAATAGTTGGACCTACTTAAGTGTTATTGTTGTTTTCGGTCTTTGTGGCCACTGAAAACAAGGGCAGGATGTGCAAAAAAAAGAAAGTGAGTAATATAGAATTGGTAGGAGCTTTGGCTGCTGAATATCTGAACTATAATCATTGGTGGTACTGCATTTTCTTTTCCACTATTTACATTTATTTGCTGCCAGAAGCAAACTAAATAAAACTGCAACTATATATGACGGCTTCTATATACTTTCTAACTGATTTATGATGTGCTGTCTTTGGTTATTTTATCATTATGCATTCCTGTCCATTCGCTTTTTACTCATGCATTCAGCATTTCCTAATTGCTACTAATATTTTTTGTCTATATTTATTACAATCTTAATATAACTTGTTGGTGCAATTTCCCACAGGCTTTAGCATTTCCCTCAACCTCTTATTAAATTCTGATATTGATCTGTTGATGTTGTCTTATGATTGTAAACCTCTCAGCAGGACCTGTAAATCCAGGGTTAACAGAGCCGGTGGTGTTGATTTTGTTAGGTAAAGCTAAGAGTAGTGAGACTGAAAACTGAGGGGTACCTATTATGGTTTAACTGCTATTTTTTCATTAGTTAAATGGTGATGGCTGCCTGATGTGTAAAGGTGGACGCTAGCCTACCTTTTCATAAGCTACAGTGGAGATAAAGAGCTTACACACCTCTGTTAAAATGCCAGGATTTGCTGATGTTAGCGTAAAATTATACCAAGATATTTGCAGGTTTTTTTCCACCTTTAATGCGATCTATAACCTGTACAGTGGAACTAAAACTTAAAGTTTGTTGGAGCATACAGAATTCTTTCAGGGGGGGTACATCTCAACTTTCTTCTTTGCAAAAAGCACTCCAAATCTAACAGACTGTGAGGGTGTCTCCTCTGCACAGCCCCCTTTAGGTCAACCTGTAGAAA